TAGTCCTCAAGGCTTAGAAAGCCAACTTTTCTCTCCCCCCCCCCCCCCCCCGGGGGGGATCTCTTCCTTAAACTTTTAGCCGGATGGACTACGATCTTGGTCATGGAATCCCTCGGCTGGGAAACAACAGGAATGTGATGTAGATCCTCCAAAGCCAAGAGCAATCTACCCCCAATTCTCGAGGGGAGGGGGGAGAAAGGGAGGGAAGGGGCTTCTGGGCCTTGTGGGGGGGGGGTCCAAAGAGAACTTACCCAGCCCAAACGTGCCCAGGATGCCCAAAAGGCTGCCAGACATGTGATACAAAGGGAGGGTCAGATAGATGACATCGGAGCTGGAGGCTCCCACCAGCTTGTAAAATCCCAGGCAGAGGATGGTTTTCAGGTGGCTGACCTTGGCAGCCTTGGGGAGGCCTGGAGAGAAGGAAGGAAGGAAACGGAGGGAGGGAGGGACAAAGAAAGAAGGGAAGGAAGGAAAGGAAAGGGAGGGGAGGGAAGGAAAGGAGGAAGAAGAAAGGTAGGGAAAGAGCAGGAAAGGAAAGGGGGGAGAAGAAAGAGAAGGAAAGAGAAAGAAAGGGGAAAGAAGAGAGGTAGAGAAAGAGGAGGAAAGAGTAAAAGGAAAGGGGGAAGAAGAGAAGGAAATGGAAAGAAAGGGAAGAAATGGGAAGGAAAGGGGAAGAAGAAAGGTAAGGAAAGAGAAGGAAAGAGGAAGAAAGGAAAGGGAGAAGAGAAGGAAAGAGAAAAAGAAAGGAAGAAGAAAGAGAAAGAAAGGAAAGGAAAGGGGGAAGAAAGAGAAGGAAAGAGAAAGGGAAGGGGAAAGAAGAAAGATAGAGAAAGAGAAGGAAAGAAAAAGAAAGGAAAGTGGGAGAAGAGAAGGAAAGAGAAAAAGGGGGAAGAAGAAAGAGAAGGAAAGAGAAAGAAGGAAGGGGAAAGAAGAAAGATAAAGAGAAGGAAAGAGAAAGGGAAGGGAAGGGAAGGGGGAAGAAGAAAGATAGGGAAAGAGAACGAAAGAGGAAAAGAAAGGAAAAGGGGAAGAAGAAAGAATGAAAGAAGGGAAGGGAAAAGAAGAAAGGTAGAGAAAGAGAAGGAAAGAGAAAGAAAGGGAAAGGAAGGGAAAAAAGAAGGGAAGGGAAAAAAAGGGGGTCAGATTTTAATAAAACGCCGATGGCTACATTTTCATTTGTGTTATGAATTCAATGCACAACTTTGTCTTAAAGTAACACAAAAAATCAAGGCAACAAAGTCACAACTGTTGCCTAAAGACGCTACTTTGGGCCTCCTGCGGCTTTCCTGACACACAAGACCCCAACTCCCTTCCTCCCACCCACCCCGAAGCCCCCCCAGAAACCTCCCCCCCCACTCACCTGTGGTGCCGGAGGTGAAGATGTAGAGACAGGTGTCCATCAGGTGTCGGGGGGTGGAGAGCTCGTAGGGGAGGGGCTCCTCGGAGGCCTCTTCCAGGAGATCCTGCAGGCTGACGACCCCCGGGGGGTACGGCCCCTTCCCCATCACCCAGACCCCCACGCCCATCTCCTTCAGGGTGGGCAGGAGGGGCTCCACGACTCCAAACAGCTCTGCGGAAAGGGAGGGAGGTTGGGGGGCTTCAGCTCCTGTGGGGGTTCTGGGCCTCTCCCCCCCTCCCCTTCTGAGCCTGGTCTGCTCTGCAGGGCTGTTGTGATGAGGAGGAGACAAAAGAGCCTCCTGACATAAAGGTTGAGATGGCTCAGGCCCATCATCCCCTGCCCCTTGTCCTCCCCCCGCCATGTCAGCATGCTGGATTACTGTTCCCAGCTCCATCATTCCCTGCCTCCCTCTCGCCACGTCTCCCCAGTACCATCATCCACTGCCTCCCCTGCTCAGCCCCCTCCCGCGTGGGAGGGATTCCCCTGTCCATCCTCCCCTGCTCAGAGTCATGTGTGGGAGGGATGCCCCGGCCTCTAATGCCCAGCCCATCCTCCTAGCCCCCTCCTCTGGACCCCCGCCCCGCCTGGGAGAGACTCCCCTGCCCATCCTCCTCTGCCTTCCTGGGTCCCCAGCCCCATCCTCCCCTGCTCAGCCCCCTCCTGCCTGGAAGAGACTGCCCTAGCCATCCTTCCCTGCCTCCCTGGGTCCCCGGCCCCATCATCCCCTGCCTCCACGTCTCCCCAGTCCCATCATTCCCTGCCTCCGCTACTCCGCCCCCTCCCGCCTGGGAGAGACTCCCCCGCCCATGCTCCCCTGCCTCCCTCCCTCCGCGTGTCCCCAGTCCCATCCTCCCCCGCCCGCCCAGCCCCATGGTGCCCTGCCTCCCTCCCTCCGCGTGTCCCCAGTCCCATCCTCCCCCGCCCGCCCAGCCCCATGGTGCCCTGCCTCCCTCCCTCCGCGTGTCCCCAGTCCCATCCTCCCCCGCCCGCCC